ATATTTTATTAGCTCAGCATTTTTTTTTCACTTTCATCTTATATAAGCAGCATATTATGTTTTGTAAGGTAAAGCATGTGCAAATATTTAATTGCTTATTTTAATTAAATTGTACATTAACTGAAGATATATAATAAATTAATACATGAAACTTTTCAATTAAAGGATGAAGTAGCTGTTACTCTTTTTTTTTATTCTCCAAGCATGACCAAGAAGAATATTCTAACTAAATATAAAATGAATAATATAATTCACTGGATAGTAAATTTAAGCCTCCGTTAGACACGTGGTAAACTCTAAACTGGGACACGGTTGGTCACGCGGTCTACGATCGTAGAGCATTTTATTTATATTATTAAACATAAAAGTTTCATAGTTTTAATAATAATACTGCATTAAGTAAATGTGTTAAATTACTGTTAATGATGCTGACCAGTTTTTATAACAAAATTTTGACTATTTCTTTACTAGACAACTAGGTTTTTATTAACCGTTAAAATTATTTCACAAACAGATTTGTATTTTGAGAACGATTTCCGAAGTGGAAATTGAAACGCCAATAAACGTACTTCAAACTTTTTTGTGGCTTATTCCCATTTAAATAGTAATTACTTTAAAATGCCTCAAAAAATAGCTTCAGAACAATATTAAATTCTCGTTTTGCCATATATTGTTGGAGATTTGTGATAATAATGATTTGAATGATGTAGGCAGAAAATATAGCATAAAGTATAATATACAATCCATCTCTGGAGAAAAGCTATTATTTTCTTTAAGTTCAATATTTAATTTCCACAATTCAAATGGTTTTTCTAGATTAAAGGTTTTTTGGATACGATAACTTATCTTTTTCATTTATTTAACTTGGAACCAAGAAATTATATTGTAAATATTAGAATTTGTTTTATAACGTCTATTTGCTCCTTTGCTTTTATTTGCGGCCGATTTGCAATTATCCTATCATGTTTTTGAGATCTTGTCTGAATCATACTTGTTATTGTCGGATTTTGGAATCGCAATGCTTGCAGAAAAATTTTATTATTAATAATATAAATATTTATATTGCATTTTTGTCTGTATTGTCACCGAGTTGTAATGCTCGTTTCGAGTCTTCTAAGGTGCTGGTTTCTCTGTACACACGTCAGCGGCGACGGACAACGGCTGCCGTCAACGTTTGAATGCTATGCCTAAAAGTGTATGCACTTGGTTTCTCAGACACGCCAGCGGTCACGGCTAGCGTCGACGGTTGGCGTTTACCCGCTGCGTGTGTCCGTTCATATGGTTTCGAAGCATTGCAGCGGGTGGACGTTATGACGGACGAAAGCAAAATGAAAAAAGAACAAGATGAAATACATACAAATAATGTAATAATTAATTTAAACATAATTTTTAATTATAACAAGTATACAATTCGTTTCTTAAATGCATTGCTGCTACAACAGCATTTCCACCATTCCTTTTCAAAGAAATTAAATTATTGGGAACGCTGTTATTGGTATTGATGTTAATATGAATGTTTTCGGTTTTGTCATCTATTAACATATTATGCAAACAGCAAGTAGCAAGTATTACATAATCAATTGTACTTGGTTTAAGCATTATCGGCGTATGGAATACTCGAAAAGTGTTTGATAGCATTCCAAACGTACTTTCGACCGTTCTTCGGGATCTACTCAACTGGTAGTTATATTGTCGTTTTTCTGTATCCAGTTCACTTTGAGTAATAGGATAAGGTTTCACAAGGCGAGGTAACAATTTGAACTCTTCGTCTCCTATCAGAAAATGTAGAAGAAAGATGTTTGATCCAGGCAATTTGCAACATTCGGAAAAGGAAATGTCCCATTTCAATTTGTTTTCCTAATTTAAATTTAGAAAAAATACTGCTATCTCCTCTTTTCCATAGGTTCCAATATCGACATAAAGAAATTTACAATTTGCATCTACTAAGGCTAACAAAACAATGGAAAAAAATGTTTGTAATTGTAGAATAAGGATCCACTGTTCAATGGACATTGTATATGACAATGTTTTCCATCTAAAGCACCGCAGCAATTGGGAAAACTCCATTTATCTAAAAAATCTTTGGACGCAACGTCCAAACGTCGACGGCCGCGGCTTACGTCTGTTCAGAGAAACCAGTGCCTAAGGCGTTGGGCAAGGATAGATGATCAAAACCTGGTAGATATTGAATAACAGATAAAGTTTATTTAGACACAATGTTCTGGGTACACATTGTTATGTCGATTGCTGACGGAATGTAACTTAGTGTGCGGGTTGGAGAACCGTCATAGAATGTACTGTTTTATCGCCTTTACTAAAACTTTACCTTGAGTATCATTAGTTTCGCACCCCCATCCCATGTTGTGAGCACTATAGTAACTCCAATCTTAAATGGAGAAGAAATATGTAAAAAATGCACCCATTTCAAATCATTTAATTAAAATTGCTGTACCTCCGTACAGACCGTGTTTGTCAGACCGTGGAGTTGAGGTGCCTACATTGTAAAAAATGTCATGCGCCCTTCCCTCCATGCTATGGCATGCTGGACGAGCCATACAGTCTGTAGTCAATGCCCCGAGGTATGAGCGGGAACACAAAGTGTATTAATACTCATACGCTTATGAAACGCACCTGGCGCATCATAAGGGCCTTCACATTTCACTCTTTTTCA